CATTCTGTGCCAGCACTTCTTTGTCACATAAAAATATAAAAAATACTAAACTTAATAATTAGAATCTGAATCAGTATCCACATCAAATACATTCGATGTTCTAGGTGGAGATGAACTACCCGAAATTTCCTCTTCACTTTCATTCCCAGTCCTATCTGTATTATCTAAAGCGTAACGCCTCCAAGGAAATCTAAATACATAAAAAATTTTTTAAATATTGCATAATGCTCACTTTCTTTGGTTTATAAAACTAAAAATAGAAATTGTATTATTTTACCTTGTCTTTTCATTAAAACAATCTTCAATAAAGGTATGTGAAACAATTTTAGAGTGTCCTTTTAATTGCTGATACTTTGGTGTATTTTTAAAGGCACAAATTAAATGAGAACATTTTTTATTAGTTGTATTGGGATCAGCAATATATTTTGCACCCATTTGAAAAGCTTTTCTTCTAATTTCGTCTCTTTGAGGATTAACATACCCACTAAGTGAAAATGAAACATCTTCAAAAAGTTTTGAAAATAATTTTTTTGGCTTTTGTGATTCAACAGCTTTCTTTTTTGTAGTTTCTTCTGGTCTAATTATTGGTTTAGGTTCTGGTAATTTTCCACAATCTTTACATATTTTGTTTTCTGGTGCATCTTGACATTGAGGACAGTTTTTTTTCTTCTTGATTATATTTTCTTCCAGAGAACTTTCTTCACAAATTGAAGAACGTTTTTTCGAATTTACATTTTTTAGATTTTCGTTTTCTTTCGTGTCTCGTTTATTTGCTTTAGGTGCACATGGAGGTATAATATCACCAAATGGAGTTCTTTTTGCTGTTATATCATTTGCAATCTTCTCATCCTTGCATTTAGAATTATTTACTGAATTTGAATTGTTAGAATCTTTATTTTTAGATTCAAAAACTTCCTCTACTTTTCCAGCTTCTAGTTTTTCCAATAGTGGCCTTTTCATTGGTTCTCTGTTGTCTTCTTGTCGTTTAGAAAAATTATTCATACCAGTTTCTTTGACTTTTGTAAGTAATTCTCCTTTATAGTCTGTTTTTTTTTTGCCAATCATTTTTAAATATTTTTCTTTAAAATCATCCACAGTTGATTTATTTTTGTCTTCTGGCTGTTTCAGCTTAAATCTTCCAAAAATATCTAATCCTAAATCAACTGTAACTTCTGTCTTCAGTACAATAAAAGATAGTCCAAATAATTCTTTCAAATTTGCTGATTGCATGCATGTTACTTTCACACGATCAAATTTTATTTTTATTGTTTCAGGATTTAGTTCTTTCTTAGTGAATATCTGTACTTGATCTTTAAATTTGCCATTTGCAGCCTCATCATGGGTGAGAAATTGGTGGTTTACAATTGGAATCCAGTTGTCTGGTTCTGCTGATGTAGAAGCAGTAACAACTATCACACAAGTACGATAATTACCAATGTCTAAACCTGTAATGCATGATGGTTCAGCTAACTGAAAAATAACAGTGGCAAGCATTTCTCCAGGCTTGGCACATCTCCATGAAGAATTTGAATGGTGTTGCAGAAGATTAGACACAGGATAAGATGGATGTTCTGATGAACAGCTTATTACTTTTGCCAGTTTAATAATCATTGTGTTATATTATTCACTTCAATTTCGTCTTCCTTTAACAGCAGAAATGAAAGTTTACAATCACAACGTCTACAACATCAAACATTAATGCATTATTATATTTTAAAGGAGATAAATAATATTTTCAAAATAAATCGATTCAATGTACCGCCAAATTTGTCAGTACGAAGCATATGCTTAAGTACTACTTACTATCGCAATTATAACCTGTTTTTCACTGGAACATTTTAGTTCTATATATAAAAAGCTGTAATTAGTTCAGATTTATTTGTAATATAAGACAATTATGCAGCATGGATTTTATATTTACACATTTCTATTGGAAGACTAGATAAATGTATAAACAATTTCTACGTCGCGTATGAACACTACAGTATAGTTATGACATCGCTTAGATTTAACGCGGGAACGCAAATGCGTGTTCTGATTGGAGCATTCTTGCTTATCAAGAGAACCGGGATAAGCTATTTTATCGAATTTATTTGGTAATGTATTATTTGAAGTAATTCATTTACTAGGAGAAATGATAAAACTATTGTGTCAGTACTTACAGAATGTTGTACTGCGTGACAACAATTTTGCGACAATGACACTTAAAAACGATAAATGATATATTGAATAAGACGCATTTAAAACTAGTTTCCTTTTTCATGCCCTCTCAGATAGGTATTCAGAAGTATTACGTATCATTAAAAGGTAACATTTTATTACCTGATAATAGACGAGACACCACCGCAGACGAAAATATCCAGTCTGTGATACCACGTCAGACCAAATATCTCGTCTATGAAATTACAAATAAGAAAGTAACGTAATTGTTTATTAGTAGATGATTTATTAGATGCGCGCGTTTTGAGCTGTGAAGAGCTCATGAACAGTTCTATCCACGTAATTCAATATTATTTGATCGTGCTTACGACGTAAGCCAACCGATCGAGGTATTTAACAGTACAGAAATGAGTAAGACAAGGAAAGAAGCAAGGGTAAACAAGCATAGCACTACAGTAATGAGTAAGACAAAGAAAGATATAGGGATAGACAAGGACAGAAAATTTGAAAAAACGAAACTAACGTCATCTAGCGTTTAGTGACGAGAACTACGATTTTTTAATAGGATAACAGGATATAAACAGAGGTATTAGACAAGGATAGCACTAGTGTGCGACAAGGAGAGAGAGAAAACGTTTCCTATTGGCTGGCGGGCCGCCATGCTCCACCTCCCAGGCCCCAAATCAAGTCGGTCGGTGAAAAATCCTTAATAACTCAATAATTAGGATGATTCTGTAAACTTTTAGAATTGAAGAATAAAGTGTGGACCTTCAGCAACTTTCACATATAGTTTTTAGTGCGCCAGACTCTTTCAGTAATTAGTTATTAACAATTATAGTACGTGATGTCGGGAACGGTACCGCATACCGTCAAGTATCCTTACGGATTTTCAATCATTTCATAGCTTTCTCCTAAATTCCCATGCAAATAAATATATGCGTCGGAAAAGCAACTCCTTGAGGTACATTCTCATATGACTCTTATTCAGATATTTAGTGTAGTTTAGCAGTTATTAAATATTACATGGGACCGTCCCCTAGTCATCGTACTCGTGTATAGTGAACTGTTATAAGCAATTGCTAATATCTAATAAACCACACCACTTAGGGCTTCCAAACTTATTGCAGAATATAGACAAAGGTTCATTCTACGTTCTACATCCTTTAAAGTGCATAATTAATCAGGCACTTCTATGGAAATAACGAAAATGTGTTACACTTGAATGCGACGCGTGTATCACCTTTACGGTTTTTCAATAATTTCATTGCTTTCTACTAAATTCTCGTACAAATAACTATATACTTCTGAAAGACAACTCCTTTAGCTACATTCTTTTATAATTTTTATTAACGTGTTCGGTTTAGTTTAGGAGTTATTAAATATTATATGGGAGCGTCTCCTATTCATCGTACTCGTGTATAGTGAACTGATATAAACAATCGCTAATATCTAATGAACCAGGCCACTTGGGGCTTCAAAACTAATTGCAGAATATAGATAAAGGTTCATTCTACGTTCTACATCCTTTAAAGTGCATAATTAATCACGCATTTATATGGAAAGAACCAAAATGTGTTACACTTGAATGCGACGCGTGTATTACTTTTACGGTTTTTCAATAATTTCATAGCTTTCTACTAAATTCTCGTGCAAATAACTATATGCGTCTGAAAGACAGCTCCTTTAGCTACATTCTTTTGTAATTTTTATTAACGTATTCGGTTTAGTTTAGGAGTTATTAAATATTATATGGGAGCGTCTCCTTTTCATCGTACTCGTGTATAGTGAACTGATATAAACAATCGCTAATATCTAATAAACCAGACCACTTACGGTTATCAAACTAATTGCAGAATATAGATAAAGGTTCATCCTACATTCTACATCCTTTAAAGTGCATAATTAATCACGCATTTCTATGGAAATAACGAAAATGTGTTACACTTGAATGCGACGCGTATATTACTTTTACGGTTTTTCAATAATTTCATAGCTTTCTACTAAATTCTCGTGCAAATAACTATATGCGTCTGAAAGACAGCTCCTTTAGCTACATTCTTTTGTAATTTTTATTAACGTATTCGGTTTAGTTTAGGAGTTATTAAATATTACATGGGACCGTCCCCTATTCATCGTATTCGAGTATAGTCAACCGTTATAAACAATTGCTAATATTTAATAAACCACACCACTTACGGTTACCAAACTAATTGCAGAATATAGATAAAGGTTCATTCTACATTCTACATCCTTTAAAGTGCATAATTAATCACGCATTTCTATGGAAATAACGAAAATGTGTTACATTTGAATGCGACGCGTATATCACTTTTACGGTTTTTCAATAATTTCATAGCTTTCTACTAAATTCTCGTGCAAATAACTATATGCGTCTGAAAGACAACTCCTATAGCTACATTCTTTTGTAATTGTTATTAACGTATTCGGTTTAGTTTAGGAGTTATTAAATATTATATGGGAGCATCTCCTATTCATCGTACTCGTGTATAGTGAACTGATATAAACAATCGCTAATATTTAATGAACCAGACCACTTAGGGCTTCCAAACTTATTGCAGAATATAGATAAAGGTTCAGTCTACATTCTACATCCTTTAAAGTGCATAATTAATCATGCATTTCTATGGAAATAACGAAAATGTGTTACACTTGAATGCGACGCGTGTATCACTTTTACGGTTTTTCAATAATTTCATAGCTTTCTACTAAATTCTCGTGCAAATAACTATATGCGTCTGAAAGACAGCTCCTTTAGCTACATTCTTTTGTAATTTTTATTAACGTATTCGGTTTAGTTTAGGAGTTATTAAATATTACATGGGACCGTCCCCTATTCATCGTATTCGAGTATAGTCAACCGTTATAAACAATTGCTAATATTTAATAAACCACACCACTTACGGTTACCAAACTAATTGCAAAATAAAGATAAAGGTCCATTCTACATTCCTCATGCTTGAAAGTGCATAATTAGTCCTGCGTTTCCATTGAAATAACGAAAATGTGTTACGCTTGAATGCGACGGGTATAATTCTCACCTAAAGAATTTTTAATAACTCCTGAACTAATTGGAATATGTTAATAAAAATTATATGGGAATGTAGCTAAGAGAGTTGCCTCCCCGACGCGCATAGTTACTTCCATGGGAATTTAGTAGGAAGCCATGAAATTATTAAAAAACCGTAAAGGTACTTGAAGTAATGCGGTATCGTTCTCGACATCACCTACTAAAATTGTTAATAACTAATTATCTAAAGTGTTTAGAGCACTAAAAACTTCATGGGAAAGTTGCTAAAGGTCCATACTTCATTCTTCAATTCTAAAAGTTCATAAAATCATCCTAATTATTAAGTTATTAATAATTTTTCCCTGCCCGGCTTGACTAAGGGCCTGATTGGCGGAGCTCAGCGGCCCGCCAGCCAATAGGAAACGTTTTCTCTCTCTCCTTGTCGCACACTAGTGCTATCCTTGTCTAATACCTCTGTTTATATCCTGTTATCCTATTAAAAAATCGTAGTTCTCGTCACTAAACGCTAGATGGCGATAGTTTCGCTTTTTCAAATTTTCTGTCCTTGTCTATCCCTATATCTTTCCTTGTCTTATTCATTACTCCAGTGCTATCCTTCTCTACCCCCACTTCTTTCCTTGACAAACTCATTTCTCTAGTGTTATCCTTGTCTCTCTTCGCTATTGTTTTCCTCGTTATCCCTATTATATTTAATTGATACTTACAGTCAACTTTTAATTACGTTAAAGTAACTAATAACGTAGATAGTAAAATACAGTTTCGGGTTTATTCTCAAGTACTTTAATTATAGAATAATTAGTTTCCTGTTAAATAACAATTTAGGTAGTAGTTTCTAATTATTGGAAGTCTTAAATAAAATTATTGTATGCTTCAACGTAATAAAATAGCTTGATATACTAGATTCACATTGAATTAACAATTGTATTCAGCATATTAGTCAGAAATTCTTTATAACTTTTATTAACAATTAGAAATATTAATGTTCTTTTTGTATGAATTACAGATGTACCTCCCAGAACACCACAGAAGACAAGGAAAGGACTTAAACATAAGGAAACACGAAGAAATGCAATTATTTATGAAAGAAACAATTATTTATTGTTAAATTATTGTACAAAATGTATATTTCAAAATGTTACAATATACCAGTGTTGTTTTACAGCATTTTACAGTCTATTTACTTCTCCCTTACACACCAAATACATTTCCACTGCAAACTACCCATTGTTTATGAAAAAACCAATTATTTATTGTTAAATTATTGTACAAAATGTATATTACAAAAGGTTACAATATACCAGAATTGTTTTACAGCATTTTACAGTCTATTTACTTCACCTCTACACAACAAATCCCTTTCCTTTTGCAAAAAACCCATTGTTTAAACAATTTTGCATTGCAAAATTGAAT